CCCCCTTCCTGTCCTTCCTGCCTCCCCATCTATTATATTCTAATCACTCACTCCACTTCATATTCTGCTCTGTGATGTACTTTCACAGCATCTGATGAAATGAACTTGGGTTCACAACAGCTTCTGCTCTCTGTAGATATCTTATTTTGTTAGTCTGTAAAGGTGTACACCTACCTGCTCTGTGACTGATTTCAGGCTACCTCTCTCCTGGTCATATCCCAGCAACTTAACGAATCTGGGCATAACAAGTGAAGGCCATGGTAGAGTAGCTGCTGCCAACACAGGGCAGATGGAGGCTCCTGTATAACTGCCCCTAACTGTCCTATCCCACAGAATCTGTGGCTGCAGGGGTCCCTGCAGCCAAGGAGCTGTGACCCGCTCACCCCCTGCCACCTGTGCCATGTTTAAAGGGCTTGATGCAGGGAGGGAGCTCCTTTCTGGCTGAGTGGGGGAGGAGTTCCTGGCTCTGCTCCCGCCCCAGCCCCAGCCCCAGCCCCAGCCTTGGTCCTGGGGAGGTAACCCAGGCATCCCCAGCATGTGCTGTCCCCTGCTCCCCACCACAGCGCAGCCCGCATGTGCGCAGCGTGGCCCCGACTATTTTATTTCAGTGAGTTTATACTGCAATTAACCATAATTTTGATTTTTGGTGGATCAAGGGCCCCCAAAACTATATCTTGCAGGGGCCCCCCAAAACTTGTGAGCCAGCCCTGGGTCTTAGGGAGAGCCTACTGTTGTTCAGGTGTTGGGCTTTGGCCTTCTCAGCCTCCCCTTTATTTACAATATCTATCAAGCTATACACTATACACTATCTATAAATCTACACACTCTTTAACTAAACAGTATACTCCATGGGTGACTGGTGCCTCCTGAGTCTGGGGGTGCACCTGCATTGGCAGTGGTCAGTGGTATACCATGGGTTTCCAGCACCTGGAAGCCAACGTTTCCCTTGTCCCCGCCCCCCTCCTCCCATTTTGCGACTGATTGCCAAGCAGGGGGGGCATCCCCTGGCAGCTGATCGCTGAGCTGGGGAGGGGGATGTCCCCCAACAGCACCCCTCTCACCCCTCCCATGTGTTGCCTATGGTATACTCTAAATAACTGGTTTCTTTTTCATGCTTTTTCTCCTTGGTTCTTTTGCAACTGCAAAAGTTTTCTGCAGGGAGGGGGAAAAAAGAAGAGGATGGGGTTTTCGACCACAGTCCAAAAATCACGCTCTTGACCCCCAACCCCACCCCACCCCACACAAGGTTGGTGGGACATTTCTGATATTACCTATATGTCACCCAGGATGCTGCATATCCCGGGGGGCAGGTTTGGCAGGCAGCATCTGCCTGGATTATTCTTCATGTTTCTGTAATGGGAATGTCAATTATAAGGAATAGGAAGGTTTGAAAAATTCAATGAAGTCTTAGGGGTAACACACATAAATAGTTGCAAACTTACCATTCTGGTGATGCTGCTGTGCTCTGCAGTTATGAACACCGTGGTGGGCACAGCTGGTGAGGGGCATGGGTGGGGAGTACATGGGCACGGGGGAAGCACATAAAGTACAGGTGGTGAAAAGACTTTTAAAGCAGTGGGAAATCCTGCTTGTGCAAACAAAAAAGCAGTTGTGCCAGCGTAAACGGGAAATGGCGTGGCATGTAGAAACGACCTCTGGTCCCAGAGTCTCACCACCCAGGCTGGGATGACTCCCTGCTTCCAGCCAGGTACTGCCTCTAACCCCACGCTCCTCTACGACCCAATCCCGATTCACTCGGATGCATGCAAGATTTTAGTCCTTTAACTTTTTTAAAATCTTTTTTTCTCTCCTTTCACTTTATTCCCCTTCTGCCCCCAATTCTCTCTTAATATAAGTGTGTTACAGTAGGATAATGGGATCATGGCAGGAAAGAAAAGAAAACAGCAGGCAGTCACTGTCTGTCTTTGTAGAAATACTTTTATATGCAGTCTTTCTCTTTTAATTCAAACAATCATATTTCAAAAAAAAATATCTATTACAAGAAAAAAAATATTGAAAAAAGAGTAGGGTTACAGAAATCCGAGTGGAAGGTTAGTGGAAAAGGCGCTAATGTGAGGATATTTTCCATATTCCAGGAAACTGAAGGATGGGCAGGCTGAGAACCAGCAGCATATGCTAAGCTAAGGTAACTCAGTATTGCTAATGGAAAGATGCTTGGTGTTACAGCCCATTGCACTAGAGTAGAAGCAAAACCAGCATGGATTACAAAGTTAACATTTACCCTGCACAAACCCATGGCTTTGTATATCACAAGGGAGAAGACAGAAACCTGACGATGAACTTGACAAAAGCTGCATTTCCCCCTGTCTGTCTCCTTTATTAGGAAGGAGTGAAAATGCCTGCATATAGATGGATTGGAGGGAGGGAGGGTGGTAAGAAAGAAAAGCCAAGCATTCCTAAGATAGCCTCAGATACAGTGTGTGGGGTTGGAGCGGGGAAGACAGGGGATAAAGTGCAAACAAGCCCCTCTCAGCTGCTCCTGTTGCTGCAGTGGGAGAACAAAGAGAGGGAGCTTGCCCTAACTTGGTGATAATTGCTCTCCTTGAAATGTGAAGTGGCTGGGTAATATTCCACACTGACAAGAAAAGGATCTAAGACTGTGAATGAAAAGTAGCAACCTTGACAAATAGCACTAGGTACCCGTCAGGCTGCCAGAAAAATGAAGACTGCATAGGAAGCCTGAGAATGATGCCTGGACAGATAGGATTGCCAGTGCCATCAGTACCTGCACGGTGTGGTTACAGGAAATAGCAAGACAGGCACGCTGAGTGTGTGACCAACTGTCCCCAGGGCAACCCGGCAGAAAGTATTCGTGAGAAAGGGAGAGAGAAGGGCTTTCCAGCTTGGAAACATAGAAGGGCAGTATTGCTTATGTGGTCATAATTGCTTATAATTATTGATCATCCCCTGTGCTTGTAGAAAAGCTAATATAATGAAACTCATTGCATATTGCCTGTTTCTTGCTAATGCTTACCTTGGAGAATCAGTAACGGTAATGGTTAGTTATTTCTTTAAATTATGGCTAATAAATTATGTAAATAAATGTTTCTGCCTTCTTTTCTTTCAATGTGGCAACCTCCAGCAGAAGATAATCAGGCTAGGGTGCCAGCCTTTGTGCCAAATGAACCCTTTTTTACAACATGAGGAAGGGTTCCCTAACTTGCCAAACTGGGAAAAGCAGTACATATACAAGAGGCACAGGGGTGGAAGGGTACTGTGGGTTGGGGATGGGGAGGGGGCACACTACCATGTCCAGGGGGTGCTCTGGTTGTGAGTTAGGGCCAGCAGAAGGGCTCAGGGTCCTGAGTCCTACAGTGAGGAAGGAAAAAAAGGGGCATTCTTTCAGGGGTAGGGGCAGCGAATGGGGTGATGAGTCTGACTGTGGGGGGAGACAGTGCAGTCGTGACTGGCTATAGGTTATCTGCAGGCGGCGCCAGTTCGTCTAAGGGCATCTTACCTGCTGCCATGGGTCTGACTGCTAGTGGTGCAGCATCCACAGCCAAGGAAAAAGAGTGGTGTTCTTTCAGGGACAGGGGCATGGGCAGCATATGGGGTGCTGGTGCTGTTGTCACTTTGGCCAGGACATGGCTGGGGGGTGGGTGTCTGTACAGGTACATAGATGAACATAGGTACAATAAACATATTTTGGGTTGGGTGGACTGCAGCATTTGTCATGCAAAACACCTGGCCTTCAAAAAAACACATTACACCCAGTTATCAAAACAGGGCAGCTAACCTCATCCATTTGTAAGTGCAATTCGAATGACATCTGCTGGACAAAGGGGTGAACTACAAAAAAGTTGCAACGCCATCTGGTGGACAAAGGGGCTTTGAGAGCATTTGTGTTTGCATGTAATGAATCCATGGACGTGATGCTTTAATTCGTGGCAAACTAAAGTAAGCTATGTCCTGATGAGTTTTACTTTAGTGCACCAAAAAGACTTTTAGAGTGTCAGGAAGACCCATATGTGCAAACAGTAATGCTGCTGGAATGCAAGAAAGGGAAAAATCGTGACATGTACAAGAGCCTGGAGAAACCATTTTCTTTTGCTGTTTTGCACAGCAGGCACCTCAGTTGCTTTTGCACAAATCTGTTTGTAATTTCTTTCTCTCATATATTCATGTCTTCTCTGTGCTGCTGGTAGAACCCCTCTGTGGCTGCTCCTCTTATGCTGTGCGCTTGCATGCGAGCTTGATCACTAACTTTGACCAAGTCTGTAGCTTGGTGCAGACCGTGTGGGTTCTTCATGCTTTCTCCTCCAGGCTTCTTCCCCATTCATTCCTATCACTGTCCTGACTCCACTTGCCTGTTAGGACAGGATGATAGCTTGAGTTAGCCATTTTGCACAGCTGGGCATTGCACGCAGCTGTTGCTTCCCCAGATTCCCTATTACACTCAGGGAATCTGAGGAGGCAATGGGCAGGTAAAGGTGCAATGGGATCTAATGCATGAGCCACACAGTCATGCCTACTGCTAGGCCACATGGGCAAATTAGGAGCTGTGACTGTGGGATTGAACATTAGATGTCATTGTGTCTTACTGCCTGTGCAGGGGGAGACTGATCCTAGGAAGAAGCAGGCACTTGTGGCTGGGACCCCGCTCTGCTGATAGGGCTCCCATCTACAAGGATGCTTCACTCATCCCTACAGTGTTGAGATTTCCCAGCGGCAGAACTACCCTACAGTTTGCAGGGCTTAGAGTCCATCAGATACCAGAATCTCAGTCTCAGCTGTTTGTTGGGCGCAGCTGGGGTGAGTCTGTCATCTGATGGGACTCTTGGCCCTGGCAGCCATGAGGCACCCTTATGGCTGGGAGATTGCAGCAACTGGGATCTCCCAGGCATAAGGGGAATAGGCTACAAGTGCAGGTTAAAGCTGGATAGAAACCAGCTATAAAGTCATTACACATTTTTGAGCAACACCCTTAGTGCTGGTTGGCCCTTTGAAAGGCGCCATAGTTGATCTGCACATGTAGCCAGTCTAAATTAATTATGCAGTTAACCAAGGAATTGCACAATAGATGTAATATTTGGAGGTGACTTCAGTAAAAAGACATCTCTTGCCACGGACACATTTTGAGTTGGATGAAAATGCTTCCAGAAACTTTTAGGAGGTCACCCGGGTCCTCCAAGGGGCTGCTGGTTTGTCCAGAGGCTGCTGGAGCATATGGCAAACCTTTGCTAGCTACATCCAGCAGTGCAGCTGCTCTTGTTCTACTTCCCAGTGCAAAGTTCTAGTTTTCCCAATATAATCTGAGGCAGGTGAAGAGATAGACCCCCTCCCCTCCAATGCCCATCTACTCAGAGACAGACCACAGCACTGGGATTACTGTTTCCTCTTTGTTTCTGGAGTTTTTTCCTTCTCCTTCAGAAATGGTCTTGCTTTTCATTGACACCCCAGTTGAAGTCCCCTCCCTCCTGACACCACATCCCATGGATGAGAACAAAGCATTGGGGTCCAGATAGGGCAGCACTGTGGCTTTACTACTTTCCTTGTCATCAAATGACTTCTACTATCACCAGTTCTTCATATAATTACTGTGCATCCCACTCTGCTGGGAAGCTATTTACTGCAACAGCAGAAGTTCAGCACTGAGTAAGGTGTCCCAGTATAGGCAGCCCCCTATGCCCCACCCCAAAGTAATCCTGCATTGCCCTGGTGAACACACATTCCTGTCTTGGGGGTAGGGACCAGTCAGAGCTTGGGGTTCAGCATTGATAACAAATCTAGAGATGAAGCAGGATGTCAGTTAATGTAAAGAGCTGCCTGGGAGCATCCCCTCTCCCCCTGCACTGAATCCCCTGTTTGGCTCCCCAACACCAGCCTGTGTTGGGGCAAGGACATGGGGGATACAGTGAGGGAAGGGCAGATGGGTGGTTCCCAGTAAATCTTCCCTGGAAGCAGAGTCCACACTAGGGTGCTGCCATTGCAAGTTAATGGCTGTCACCCCCTCGCTGGGCAGATACATCCCTGCCCCTCCACTCTTGGGATAATCCATCTGGGTCCATGCTAGGAGTGTGGGGGTGGGGAGGGGCTGCCACTGAAGGACCCCTGGGTCAGCTTGACCATGGTGTACAAGATGGGTTCAGTAGGGGTGGGGGCAGGGTTCCTCCCCTTCCTGTTCAGACCTTCATGGTTCAGTTCAGCATAGGTGATGCCATCAGCATAAGCACGGAGCTTGTCCTGGAGCTGAGAGGGGAAGGGAAGAGCAGGTAGGAAGACAGTCATTGGGGTATGTTGCATGGGTACGTATACAACCCTACACCCACGTGTGTACGCATGCACGTGCACACACACACACACACACACACACACACTCATATTACTGTGCCTGCTTACACAGGCACTCATGTTGATAGAGGCACAAATATTCCCAGTGTAAAAAGCACATGCAGGTTTACTCACACACTTGTGCTTCACACCCTACACCCGACAAGCATGACCCACAACAGCCATAACAACCTTCTCACACCCAATCACACAGCTAGGGTGATCACCCATCCCTAATTGGGTGGGACAGTCCTGGAATGAGAACATCAAGTCTTGGTCCAGGGCTGCAGGACTCTGGGACAGTATTTATCTAAGATACACAGCACTGTGCAGGGATTGGGAAACTGCGAGTCTCCCCTTGCAGGCTGGCAGCGATCCAGCCTACAAAGGGCTGCTGGGAGCATAATGCAGGGGGAGCCATATGCATGTGTGCCTGCCCGCACACACACACGGCTAGAGATATAGCCAGGCAGTGTGGAGAGCAGCTCCCTGAAGGTAAGTCTAAGGTGGGATAGCATAGATGGGGCATGGCGGGGGCAGATCTAGGAGGGAGTAGGGGGCTGGGGGCACTGCACAGCTCTGCTCCGGCTGTGCCACTGGTGGAGGTGAAGGGAGGGCTGGGAGACGTGGGCATCACCCTACACACAGCCCACGTGCACATGTTCAGTGGTGCACTGCAAACACCCACAGATACACAAACACAGCAGAGAACAGATGCAGGAGCAAGTCCCACAGAGACAGCAGTGAGGCCAGCACACAGGCATGTGCATGCATGAAGCAGTCTGGACTCCTACCAGGTGATGCTGTGAGTCCACCACCACATAGCAACCCCATCCCCATCTCAAATCAAACAGCCCCAAGCAAAAAGCAAGGAGCTGGAGGAGGGGTTGGGGTCTGGGGCCACACAGGCCCAGTGTGGGGTAGATTGGAAGGTGCTTACCAGGGTCTCTGCCTGATTTCCTTCAGTGACAGAAGAATCTATAACACAAACAGCAGGTGAATCTGAGAGGCCACATCTCACACTGACTCACACCCCAGCTAGCACTGACCCTCCGTCTCTCCCATCCACCTGCCCATCTAGGAGATCCTGAACCTTTTACAGCCAGCCTCCACCACTACAACTGGGGCAGGTCATTAGATCCCAGTTACATAGGAATAAACAGAGGCACAGAAGGAAAGCACAAAGACAGGGATGGATTCTCGCATGTTAAAGCCTGGGTGCTGGGAGCCAGGATTCCTGCAAACCATCCCCAGCTCTGGGTTGGAAGGAGAGGCTGGTGGGTTAAAGCAACAGGCAAGGGGTCTACAGTAGATGGGGACTTTTCCATCTCTCACTCCCCTCCATCCTGGGATGGTTCATGGAGGCCAGAAAATGAAGATAGATTAGCTGTTTTATTGATGGAAGCCCTCCCTGCTCTGCAATCTGCCAGCAGGCCCTGTGGATCAGGCCCTGCCTTATGCGAATGAACCACCCCAAGTTCTCTCCCCTTAACCCCGCACTCCCCGTGTCACTTACAGACAGGCTCTGGGGCCTCTGGAGCCCTCAAATCCCTGTAGGGGTGAAAGAGAAAAGAAGCTCTTGTAAGGGTCACAGGTCCTCATGCACAGGGTGATTCCCCCATACATGCAGTGAGAGCCAGCCCAAGCTTACATCTCCACTCCAGACCTCCCAGCCCCCTTCCTCCAACCACTACCTCCCACCTCCTCCTGGGAAAGAGCCCAGGAGTCCTGGCTCTCAGCCCCTCTGCTCTAACTCATTTCACCACACTCACTCCCAAAGCTGGGAAGAGAACTCAAAAGTCCAGTCTCTCTGTCCCACTCCTAAACCCTAGTCATCATGTAAAGCCAAAAGAAAACTCAGGCATCCTGGTTCCCAGGCCTGCTCCCTCTTGTTTTAACCCACAAAACCTTACTCCCCTCCCACAGCTGGGGTACAAGTCCAGCAGCTCCAGGGGAGAAGGATGAGTGTGGCTGGGATCCCTACCTGCTCCATATTGGTGCCCAACCTTTCCCTGCAGACAGAGATAGAAAATCCTCCATAAGTTGATCTGTACCAAGTCCCCCTGTGCCTGGGCCCCTGTTGCTTCCCCCACACAAGGCATGGGGGATGAAGGGGCCAGGGGAGAAGTGCTCCCTCCCCTAGAGGTGCTGAGCTGAATCCCCTTGGGGCACCAGGCTGGGTCAGAGGGTGCTGTCTGCAGCACTGTCCAGTAGGGTCAGTATCACAGCACAGGAACAACTGGAAACAGAAGGGAACCTGGATTCCTGCAGGGCTCATTAGTGATGCTGGTTATAATTAACTTGACCCATAGGCAAGGCACTTCCCTCGGACCCGTGTAACTAAGGCGCCTGCTGCTAGCTCGCTGGCACTGAGGTGCAGCTGCCTCTGGGGTGGGGGGTCAGAGGGTGTTTCTACAGGGACTCCTCCCTCAGCATCCACTACAATCACACTCACTGCTCCTTGCAGGGAAGGGCCCTCTAGCACCACCCTAGGGCAGCACAGGCTGTGAGGGGCCAGGGCCTGCTACTGAGCCCCCACCCCTCTCCCTGAGTTTCCTTCCTAGTCTCCCATCCAGGCACTGACCTTTGCCAGCCTGGTAAGCAGCTGAGAGCCCTTCCCTCCCTGGCACAGCACATACCTTCTAGCAGTCTTCTGTAGCAGAGGAAGGCCATGAGAAGGAGGATGGGGGGGAGGAGGAGGATGGCACACACCACAGCGATGGCAATGGGGGTGGCCTGGTTCCATAAGTGTTCTGGTATGTCTGAGACAGCAGGACAGGCAGTGAGTACTGGGAGGGGCTGCCCTAGCCCCTCCCATCGCAGATAGTGCTCAGGGACTGGGACACCCCTGGCTACAGGACTACAATGGACTAGGGTGAGTGTACGAAACTGCAGAACTTCATGTTTGGGGACCAGGAGCAGAGGGGACTCTGGATAACAGTGGTCAGCAGGCATCACTTCTAGTGATAGGATTGTGATGGGACACAGTGGGGATGAAACTTTTGTCCCAGGTGCTCTAGTCACCCAGCACTCACAGCCCAGACCACTGGGGTAGATTGTGGCAACCTTCTTGTGGTCTACTCCATCAGTTCCTCTTTGAGGGTGTAGCAAAACCCCCAGTTTTTATTTTTTTTAATTTATTTTAAAATGCATTCCCTCCCCTTCCCCAGCCATTTCTGACTTTTTCTCTCCCTCTCTATTCCCTATAGATAAGTATAAGTAAGCTAAGATGTAGGATAAGCTTTAACATTTTATTTTAAGTAGTAAGTTTTATTGTTCTCTCCCCTCTTTGCAAATAAGTTCCCTGCTATTCTGATATCGATACCCACCGTTTTATAAGTGATAATTATTATGTTTGTACTGCTTTTATATTGTGTGATTACTGTTTTAGGCCTATATATGTAAGTTAGTGTAAGTCATATCAAGTTTACATTTTGTATGTCAAACCTCCATCTTGTGTCCTCTGCCCGGGCATCCCCTGTGTTGCAACTGTATGATTCATGTATCCCTCCCATGTAAATTGGTTCCCGGATGAATGAGAGTGATTGGGAATGATTGAAATACAATGGTAGCAGGCCTCTACTGAATGGCCTGTAATGACCAGGCCATCACCTCGCATTGATTCATCCAGGAACCACAGACCTCACCCAGGAACAGAGACAAGAACCCAGTATTTGAAAGTCAAAAGACCCTGCC